ATTCGTTTAGATTAAGTTCACATTCAAGACGCATTTTGTGTAACCACAGATAAGATAGTTATATATTCTTCTATCTAAGTTTTGAAACTTAAGAAAGATTTTTCTTAATTTCTCTAAATTTGTTGCTATCCAATCGAAAAGAGAAGAAATGTTTTTTCTTATTTCAAAAGTCAGACAAAACTGTTAATAATAATAAAATTTTTTTTATTAACAAAATTAAGTAGTACAAAATAATTTTAGTTAGACAATAAAGCATATTGAACTTTTGATTTAGTATCTCAGTAGTAAGACAGTTCTAGTCAGAAGAAAAAAGTTTCTCCCTATAGCGAGATGAAGATTTGTATTTGTAATATATTCAGTGGTAAAAGTTAGTCAGATTCAGACAAATATAATATTTTTACTTATGTTTTTGAAAATAAATATTAAATCTTTTTTGGGTAAATTAATATATATCAGAGAAAATTTAAATTCACCTAGCGAAACGTTTTAATTTCTTAAATTCTCAAAATCAGTAGTAAAAAGCCATATTAGTCAGACAAAAATAAAGAGGAATTTTAAAATAAAATTTATTTTATTAAAAATACGCTAAATATAAAATGTAATTAGTGCGTTTAAAAAAGAATTTTTCGAGCTTTTAAAAAATGCTACAGAATTTTTTTCACAAAATAAAAATGTTATTTCATGTAAAATTAATTTTTTTTCTATAAAAAAAATATCTCTATCATTATACCTGGAATTAACGAATTTGTCAGACTTTGATTAATTTATACAAGGGAATGAGCTATTTAAATTGTAAAAAATATTAAAATTAAAAACAATGATTCCCCCATGAGGAAAAAATTAATTTTTAATTTAAAACTATTTAAATATTTAAATATTTTATTAAAATTCTAATTTTCAATTTGAAATATAGCGAAACGATTTTGGAATTTTAATATCTTTATACCTGCGGTCCAAGCTGTTTGTTTATATATAATAGTGAAGTACAAAGGGAACCTTAACGCAAAGGTCATAAACAATCATAAAGATAATTATATCAGTTACCGTTCTTCTCTTGACCTGTTCGGACGTGCTCAACGTTAGTGTAAATTTTCTAATTCGCGAACGAAAAAATTCAATTATTATTTCAATAATTTTTTTTTGTTTCGCGAGTTTCGAAATTCTCAAAATCGCGTTCGTTTTTATTTTCAAAGAAAGTTTTTTCTTCCTTTTTTTAATTAAACATAGTTTCGGGAATGAGTTTTTTTAATTGCGAAATAAAATTTTTTTTATTTTAGTTAATTTTTTTTTTGCTCCGGGAGTGTTCGAAATTCTCTAAAATCGCGATCGCTTAATCTTTAAATTTGGTTTCTTAATTATATAAATTTAGTTTCGGGAGTGTAGGAAATTTTTTATACAACAATAATTGGAGACTAAGGTTAGAGATTTATTTTTTTTTATAAATAATAATTGCATGTATTTTTTTACTGTAAGGAATTTTAAATTGTTAATTTAGTAGTAAAAAAAAAAAATTATAAAAAATGTATATCTCACAATTTACTGTACCAGTGAAATGATATATTTGTCTGAATTAAATATTTATTTGTTCCAAATAAATAATTTTAAATAAAAATTTTATTTATGCTAAATAAATAGGACGGTAGGCTCTTGAGACAATTATAAGTTTATTTAATTCAAATATGTTATATTTGGTTCAAATAAAACATTTTTCTGGGTAAATAAAAACAGCTTAACAAAAATAGTGAACTCAATTTACGCACACAAAAAAAAAGTAGAACTAGATTTTAAGTGACTTTTTATGTATTGAGACCTATCAATCCCTTTGGGTTCAACCTTTCTGTTAAGTTGTTGATGTGAGCTGTAAAAGAGCCAAATGCCGAGAGTGCAAGATGCACACACGTCGTTTCTCTATCTGCAATATTGGAAATTCTTGTTTTCTGCCAAGGTTTTTGAGTCGTTCTCTGCTCTGCACTGTGACGCGAAATAGAAATCCCAATGGAGTTTAAAAAAGAGAGAAAGAGAGTTTGAGCCGCAGTAGTCGTACTTTAACGAATCCATTTTTTAAGACTTACCCCAGCAAAAAAAAGTTTCATCCGATCCTCTCTCTTTCTCTCTCCTCTCACACAACACAGTCAACGTCAGATCAATAGGCAATTTTATTGCCTGTGTCATGAAGCAACAATAAAGTTTTCAATTTCAAACTTGAAGAAAAAAAAACAAGTAATTTCTAATTACTTTTCTCTTTTTTTTATTTCTTTTTTCCAGATTGAAATTTTTTTAATTCTCAATTTGTTTTTCTCCTGGAGGAATTTTTTTTCTCTTTTAAAATTTTCCAAATTCTTATTCGGGATTCTTGTTATGTGAAAAAAATTACAAAAAAAACCCCTAAAGGTTAATTAATACACGATAGAATGAAATATCCAAATAATGGGAATTCCTCTGAAATATTTCTTTAGAAAAAAAAACCGATCGTTAAAAATGTTTGCTATTCCGATTTATCGCAAAAATTCTTAGTTTTTAAAGCATAAATTCTTTGATCAATTATAATTACGACAAAAATATTTATTTTTCTTTTGACAATCTTTTTTTTTCAAAAAAAAAAAATATGGGAGACAATTTTTTTCTACTAGAAGTTTTAATACATGAATAGGAAAATATTCGTTTGATATTGAGATGGAATAATGAAATATGTAAAACGTCAAAGGAGAAAAAATTGAACGTATATATGAATTGTAGTTTTCAACGGTGTAAATGATTGTTGACCGTCTACTAGTAGCAAAAGGTCATGGACCTTTTTTTATGTGTAAAATACATAAATTAAACCAGGCATTAATTTTCTTAGACACTTACTAAGCTTTGTTGAGTGCAAAAAAAATATAGATTAAAAACTGCGGTTTTCTTAACTTGCATTCTTTAATAAACATGAAAGAGAAAGAAAGCTCAAGTTTCTCCTTATAATTTATTTTTGCTTATATCGTTTGCCTGCAAATAGAGAAAATGTTGGTATAAATCATACTTCTCGCTAATTATATTTTTAAAATAAAAAAATGGGTACGTGAACTTAAAAAAAATCTAAGTAGTAAAATTCCCTTTTAGTCAGCCGAAAAAATCTTTTAATTTAATAAAAGAAATTTTGGAATTAGCAGATTCGTTCTAATTTTCACAAAAATTTGTGAATTAGTAGTAAAATACCGTTTTAGTCAGACTTAATATATTTTCCAAAATAGATTTTTTATAATAATTTTTTTTTTATTTATATAGAAAAAAAATTTGTTTTATATAGTAGACTGTAGAACAGACAGTATATTCACATTTCAAACAATTTCCTCACGATTAATTAGGTTAAGTTTGCTCCTTTGGCCTTCTCACTAAATTCTTGAATTACAATAGGATGAACTTGGAAAATCATAACTATTAACGGCGATTATGCTTGATTCGCATTTACATAAATTTGAATAAGACGCTTTACGTAAATACAACATGAATAAATATGAAGGCCAAAAATAATGAAAGAAGTGAAGAATTTCAACAAAAAATAATTTCTCTTTATATTGCATGAGGCGCTAAATTAATTTTTTTTGTCTCATTTTTTTTTATAAACATTAAAAATTATTGTTAATAACAAATTAATAAAATATACTTACAATAGGTTGGAAAAATTGGTTATTTTTACATTCATTTTCTTAATTAGAATTTTCGTTTAAAAATACCCCGGGAGAAAAAATTTTTGTTTTCCCAACTTACCAATATAATTTATGTTTCTCTTAGTTTATTTTTTCCTTACAAGGTAATTGATATAGTGAATTTTAATAAAATTGAAAAAAAGTAAAAAAAAAAAAATTTAGAAAACGTTGACTTACATTCACATTAGCATTTTTAATTCTCTAAGTGCACTTTTTAATTTCGCAGTTACAGCCTGACGTGAATTTTCCACCCAAGGTAATTCCGCTTAACTCGCGATTAATTAGGCTTTAGTAAAGTTATACCATCATAGGTTTTTAAAGTCTTTGTTAAATATGTAATCGCTATTTTTTTCAAAAACGAAATTGCAAATTTTTTATAGATCTTTATTAGAAAACAATAAAAAAATTTCTTCTTCGAATATTTAGAATTTTAGCGGAAAATAAGAAATTTTATTTTAGTAAATAGTGGAAAATGAATTTGTTAAATTTAATTTTAATAAATTACTATTCAAAATTTTGTCAGAAAATCGTATTTTTAAAATATAGAAAAAATTAAAGACGATATTTCAGGTGCAATGAAGTCTGTCAATAAAATAATGATCGTGTTTTGTTATTTAATAAATCGACTGCAAAAAAAATTATCTTAAAAAAAGTATAAAAACAAAATGATTATTAATTTGTTTCTTTTTCGTGTGAATAGTTTTGCATTTAAAAAAAAAGGAAAATTCAAGGAAAAGACGACAAACAGAAAATATTCGCCTATCGTCGAAGTTAATTGAAAAACAGGAAATTACATTTTCGCTATCATATTCCTAGAGGTGACTGTGTTTGTGTGGGACAACATTTGGTCTGTATAGTACAGAAGAGTGCACGCTTTACTAGAAAGCAGAGAGATAGTTCAGTAAATTATCGATCAAGTTAAATATTCAGTGCTCTTCGCCCTCGCTCTCTCTCTCTCTCTTGGTGCGAATCCGACACGTTTAGAAGTTGAAAATAAATGGAGTGGTTAAAATATTACAGATGGGCTACGTTTCAAAATTTAATAAAAGAGAAAAATTTATCTATCACCATATAGACTTTCGTTATTTTTTTTTCTTTTTAAAATAATTAATAAAACAATTGAATTTTTTTTTGTTGGTAAATATTATTTAGGTAAATATTATTTAGGTTCATACATTATTTTTTAATGTTTTTTTTATAACTATTTCTTTTTCTTTTTTTGCCTTCTCTTTCAATGGAAGTCAAGTCGAGTGCTTTAATTTTAAAGCGGAAAAGAAATATTTATTTATGTAAAACAAATTTTTATTTTGATTACAGGATGTTCGTGTGTTGTGTACAGCAGTTCCTATAGTCCTCAAGGAGGGACTTTTAGTTCACCTGATTTTCCAAAACGATATCCAACGAATATTGACTGCCTGCTGTATACATTTGTCGGTCAACCGGAAGAAATTGTCCAGCTCTCATTTCATCAATTTAACACAGGTCCACTTCGTACCGAGTGAGTAAATTATTTAAAACTTTACTTTCAACTATACACATAATATGTAATTATTTTCTAAAAATATTTTCAAAAACAAAAACTTTGAGAAAAATAATTTTTTGTTCGTTGGGAAATATATTAATTAAGTTAATTAAGAGGAAAATTAATCACAAGAGAAGTTGAACAAAAGCCGTATGTTAAAAGGATACGCAAAGTATATATATATATATATTGAAATATTAAGGTAGGGCAGAACTTTGAACTTTTCTTGTTAGTGTTTAATGATTAGGAAGTATGCGCAATTGTTCTTTTAAGGCTTAACGACAGGCACTCAAAACCTTTTCTTTCATATATATATATATATATATATATATATATATATATATATGTCATGAATAATTGAAAGTTTATATAGTGCCTAAGATCACCGACTTAACTCATCTATATATAACCATTGTACTTTATAACTAAATATTTGTAAGCTTCCTTTTACTCTCGGGACTCTTTAAACTTCATGAAAAGCAAGCTCAAAGAAGATTTTTTCTCTTTTTTTTTTTGCTCCATAGTTTCTTAAATAGTTTATTACGAAAGTTTTCTTTAATTTCTTCTCTTTTTTTGTTTTTAACGTAACTTGTTAGATATTTTTGCTCAGTTGAATGGAAGTAGTAAATGTTTTACAACTGCACTTAAGCATCCAAGACGAGATCTTGCAAACTAAATTGACAGCAAGACGTTGAATAAAGAGGATAGGAGAATTTCTAGGAGCGATAAACCCGCATCTAGTGACAATCCCCTCAACTCCTAAAACTAAAGGACACTCCTTGAACCTCCTCAGTTGATTACTCGATGCCACAGGGTTCCCTTGACATTATCTCAGTTAGCTGTACTAGAAAGTACCGCCATAGGGCTTTAAGAGAGTAGGGGGTGTGGATTCACCAATACCAATTCGTTTCCCTAGTCGTTGCGCACTTAAGACTATACAGTCTTCCTCTAAATTTTCTTTATGTGGAAAATTCGAAACAGGTGGAAATTAAAAATTTTCTCTTTTTTTTAGAATATTTATTTTATTTAAAAAAGGGTACATTATTTTGTTTACATAAAGAAGGAATATAAAATTCGAAAAAGGTGGATATTAAAAAATTTGTATTTGATTTCTTTGGAGGAAAAAAATATATTGAAAAAAGATAAAGAAAATTAATTTATATTACAGATATGTTTTTTTGGGAAAATGAAGGTATTGACAAAATAGAATTTTATTATTATAGAAAGTATTTTATTTTTACTATTCTGTAATTTAATAGTTTGTGGAAAATAATATGGAACGTGTTGATTAATTATTGGTAATTATTTACCAGTATGTGCTGTATATCTATAATTTAATAAGGATTGAACTAAATCAATTTCACAGTAATTACATTCGCATTTGATTTAATTATCTTGTTTTCAAATAAAAGATATTCCAGATGCAAGGTGATTTTTGTTTTAGTAGTAGTAGAAGCCGATTTTAGTCAGACAGAACGTACAATTTTTTTTGCCAATATTTTTGATTAAATATTATTTAGCGCCAGATTGAAAGAATTTATGAATTTTTTTATTTTATAAACTAAATACCCTTTTTTCAGTAGTAGAATACTGTTTAAGTCAGACAATTTTTATTTAAAGTGCTGAAGAATTAAGTCAAAATAGTACTATTTATTAGTATTTATGGCATCTAATTACAGTATTTATTTATTATGATTTCTAGTAGTAGAAGACGGTTTTAGTCGGACAAAACTATTTATAGGTTTTTAGTACAAAGAAGGATTAATATATTCTATTCGTGTAATAAGTATTAGTAGACTTTAGTCAGCCAAAAAGAATTTTAAAAATAGTGTACATTACTTTTCAGTAGTAAAACACAGTTTTAGTCAGACAAAGTGTTTTTTAAATTCTTAATACTATGATGATAATATTTCTAATAAAAAATATTAAATAAAATAAAATAATAATAATTTAAAATATTAAATAAAATATTAAAACTATTTTAGTAGTAAATTTCCACTATAGTCAGACAATGGATTTATCTATTTGAAATTTTTTTTAGAAACAGTAGTAAGAGAAAATTTTAGTCAGACAGTAATTCACAATTATTGTGCGTTAACTATTAGTAGAAAACCCCAGATAAAGTCCGACAAAAGCGATGAATCTGAAAATTCATTTTCAGTAGTAATAGTCAGACAAAGCATTTCTCAATCAACCAAATAAAAAAATCAGTAGTAAAGGGCAATATTTAGTCAGACAAAACTTTTAACAATTTTTTCCCATTTAAAAAGAAAGTAAAAAAAAAATTCCCCCTAATTTTATACGGTGTAAATTAAAAAAAAGGGAAATAAAAATGTTATCCGTACACGCAGGATCTTTATTAAACCATTAGTATCTGTTTTTTTACGGTTTGCTGTGTGGTTATTTGAGATTCCGCCCACGATGTCGACGCGGGATTCAGGATTTGGGGGTTGGGTGCTAAATCCACACAACTCCTTTGGGGGGGTAGAGAAAGAGAGAGAGAGAGAGAGAGAGAAAGGGAGTCAACAGAAACCGTGAAGCTCTAGAAAGTGGAAGTTATAGAACGGGAAATGGTAGAAAAGAAGAAAATAACGAGGATCCTGGTATCCTTTGTCGTTATAGAAAATGAGACGTTTTGCGCTCACATATATATAGTTATTCTTCTTTCACTCATGACACAATGATCACCATCAATATTAAAACGATTTTAACTTTTTTTTGCCTCCTATTTTCTTTTCTTACATTTCAGTTTTTTTTTCATTTTTTATAAAATAAAATTGCCAGGTTTATTTTCAGGATATAATTCAAAGGTGCTTGGGGAAAAAAATATAAATTGTAAACACTAGCAAAAAAAAAAAAAATAGAGGGCTACGAAATGGCTTTCAACTTTTATTGTTTTTAACAAAATGTTTAGCAAAAATATTTTGTGGACAAATTTTTTTTATTTGTGCTATCTTTTATCATTTCATAACTTTTCTTCTTCTTCCTTCTATTGTTTGACGTTCTTATCGCACAATAACAAGAGATATTCCAATAGATTCACGAAAAAGTATTTCCGATGAGAATTATTTTTTTTTTTTTTGCTTTTCACTGTCTCACTACTGAAATCTGTAAAGTAAAGATTCTGAAAGAAAGTCTTTTAAGTAGCGATTGAAAGAGCACGAATCGCCACTTTATTATATGAAAAGCGTATCAAGAAGTACTGAGAGGGAAGAGAAAAAGAGAGAGAGAGAGAGAGAGGGAGAAAAAAGAGAGAAATAGTTATATAAAGTGATACATTTCTTGTATAGAAAGAGACAAGTGCGGTTTGCGAGTGCCAACAGAAGTAACCCGCGACGTGGGTATATATTGAATATTGAAAAAGTGCCAAGAGAGGATCAACGATACTTCTGTATCTAAAAATGCAGCAGTTTAGAAGTACATTTTTCCCATCGCAAGGAAAACTTGTGAAGGCAAAAGTGAACTTTTCCGGATGCTTCAGGTTATAATCTGTCTCAGTCCCATGATATCTTTCTCTCTCTCTCTCTCTCTCTCTCTTTCTAATATGAGGTCACGTTCCTCTCAGTTATAATACTCATGGCATAATTCCTGCCGCTTATTTGCATGCATAATCGTTTGCATATATATTCAGATATCCACAATGACTCCCATAGTGTGTGCGCCAGGATTAGCCAGACGGCAAATGCTAGTTATTATTAAATTTTTCCTCAAACATTAGTTCACACTCTCACATTTATTTATATACAGCTCATTTTACCTTAATATTAATTATTTCTCATTAAATACCAAATTAAATTCACATTACACACTCAATATTTTTTTCATTTTTTTTTAATTAACAAAAAATTTAATACATTTGATCTTTTTTTAATGAACAGAAAATTTAATACATTTAGTATTTTTCTAATTAATAAACAAAAGCGATGAATCTGAAAATTCATTTTCAGTAGTAATATTCAGTTTAGTCAGACAAAGCATTTCATATTTGGTCTCTTTCTTATTAATAACTTTATTACATTTGGTATTTTTTAATTATCAACAAATTAAAAACATTTAATCTTTTTTTAATTAATAAAAAATTTAGAACAATTTTTAATTTTTAAATACCGCCAAGTGATTAATTTAAAATATTATGAAATTTATTTGAATAATTGATTTAATTTTAAAAATTACTTAGAATAACTTTAACCACCTTGTCTGACTAAAATTGATTTTTACTACTTAAAACAAAATTACAAGAATTATGTACGAGTTTGATTTAATATTGCATTATTTACAAAATTCGAAGAATTTATTACTATTTGAATAATTAATTTAAAATTAAAAGAATAAAATATTCCGTTATGAAATAATATAAAAAGAAATGCAATTTTCATTATATATCTATAATTACAGGAGTCGTGAATATAAAATTAATTTGACAATTTCATTTCGTGTAAATGACGCAATTAGAGGTTGGCATAGAGTAGGTACTTATTATTTATAGATGAAAACAAGTCCCATTAACTGGTTCATTCGACTTTCTAGGAAAATGACATAGTTAATATTTTACGAAAACATAAAAGAACAATGATATTCTGGAAAGGACAATTGCAAAAAAAATTTTTTTTTTTGTTACTTCAGTTACTATATTCCATATATATATAGTTGAAAGGAGGGAAATTTTTTTTTTCATTAATTAGCAAAGAAAGTTCATTACTCGGTGCAGCTAACCGTATATATTGATTTTTCCACTGTAAATATTTCAAGGTATTTAAAATTTCATTAAAAAACCAATTGAAAATTCGTTTCCACATGTTCATATTAAAAAATAAATTTTTTTTTAACATATCAAATATTAACTTCTATGTTTTAGTGGAAAAAAAAACATTTGTATAAATACATTTTAGAGTTTGACAAGAATCATAAAACACTGTATAAATAATAATAACAAAAATAAATATATAAATAAAATTAAAAATAACGAATAAATAAAA